CACGCATAAGGATTTGTTGCAATGTTCAGGAGAGTATTAACCTCCTGAACATTGCAACAAATCCTTATGCGTGATAAACCAATGACACATAAAGAGAATTTTGAGAGCCAATTAACCTAACAGGCCAGAACTAAAACCTAACATGGAGAAACAGCATTCAGTTCCTATGCTCCATTTATCTGGAATAAACTCCCAGAAGAATGTAAAAATGCTGAAAGCATGAGTTCTTTTAAGTAAAAGTTAAAAAACCATTTGTTCAGAGCTGCTTTTGACTGTTGAAGTTAAACTGTTGAGTAATGTATTATTACTTTAAGGTTGTGGTCTAAGTGTTTCATTTCATTTAATACATACATTCATTAGAAAGTGATATCGAAAGTTTTTTGTTACCCATGAACCTCTTCGGCTTGGAGGTGTAAGTAAATATCTTTCATTCACAATAGATTGTCAGTCTATTGCAGTGGATAGACATACATCCATGCACAAACACACGACAATTACGGACAAGAGAGAGCAGTTTGGTTAGGCAACATTTGCAAGAATATTTTCTGAACTACTAAACATTAACCTACAGTAAATGCTGTGAGCAGTGACTCACGTGTACAAACTGTTCCTTGCCACAGTATAGTGTGACATTTCTCAACTTTGTACTTTAGCTTTCCATCAAAATTAAGAATAACTTGAAACAATGTTTGGCTTCATTGGAAATATTACAATAATCGACTTTAAAGTCAGCAAATCCATGTAAACATATTTCAAAGCAAACCATAAGGATAACTAATAATTAATAATAATAAATAACTATATTAATAAAACAGTGGCTTACTGGGATGTAACTGACATAAAATTATTAAAAGTATAATCAAAAGTAATACTCATTACACAGTACTGCAATCAACATATGTACATATTAACTTATCTTTCACCAATGATTTATTTCCTGATGAACATTGCAAAATCATCTCATGATTTAAATCAGCAGAGAAACACCATGATTGTTTTTTAATTGTTTTGATTCTATAACTGTGAATTTTGCAGGGCCTCAGTGTGTTAATATCCTCTGAGGATTGTAGAATAGCTTCACACTGGCCACAAAGAAACCTGAGCATCATGCACTATTTGGAGGTTAATATTCTGTCAATCATCCTCAGTTACCGAGTCAAGCAATGTAAAACTAAAACATCTCATGTAAGCTGTGCTTTTAAGAAAAAAAACTGTTTGCTCTTCTCTCCTTTTTGGAATTTCCCATTCACACACTTTAATCATCCAACACAACAAGGACACAGGAAATGTTTGGGACAACTGCCCCATTGGCACAGAAAAAAAATTCCTGGACATTTTATTTTCATGTTACATATGTTAAAGAAATGAAATGTCAAAGAACAGCTAACATCCAAAAATCATTATCCTACCTCCATTCCTGTCAT